ACCAGTTCGGCAGCCGGTAATGCCGATGAGCAACGGAAACTGAGCCGTTTCTCTCTGCCTCTCTGCTCTTGGGCCCACCCGCCCTGCCCGGGCTCCCATACTAACCTTTATGTCCTGCTTTTGAAGCGCAGTTGCTTTGTGCGGCATAGAAGATTGCTGCGCGGCAGCTGCTGAAGCGTCAGGGAGAGTGCAGGATTGCAGGTGAGTCAAAACACCTCTCCGCCTGCACAAACTGCGCATTTGGCATGCACTTGTGCACAAAGTGTGTGCGCGCGTGCAAAGCACACCCATCAAGCCATGCCCACCGAACTGGTGGTAAAATTGTTTGAAACGCATCACTGAACAAATAATGACTAAGTTAGGCAGTAGTTTTAAATTCTGGTTCACAGTAACTAGAAATAGAACCTATTTGTATATACTTAGGTACACACTCAGGTAGCCTGATTATAGGAGCAAATGAGATGGCAGGTGAAATGGCAATATATGTGCTGATATTATCCAGGCAAAGATTAGCATACTGCTCATACACACACGATGCTAAAATAATCATCATTAGCTTTGCCTGAAAAAAATGAAATAAACTCCAAGGTTGGAAAAAAACTTACTGAAATCTCTGAAGTCCTTCGGAAGAGCTTTCCCCCCGAGGCAGCCTTTCTTCATTACGCTTGGGTCCATGTGGACTAGAATAATGTGGGATTATTTGCTGAGCAGGGCGAGTGACTCTTACACAAGGGGCAGGAAGAGGAAGTTGCACTTGAGGTGAACGTGCAAAATGTTGATACGGGGTTTGTCCATCTAAGCATAACAGAAAAGAAAAATTCAGGCCATTGTATAAGTGAGACTCCTTTCCATGAAGGTAAATAGATGGTACAGGCAGTCCTTGACTTACAACAGTTCGTTCAGTGACCGTTTAAAGTTACAACAGCACTGAAAAAAAATGACTTATGACCATTTTTCACACATACGATTGTTGTGGCATCCCGATGGCCATGTGATCAAAATTCATATGCTTGGCAACTGGCTCATATTTATGATGCATCCTGGGGTCAAATGATCACCTTCTGCAACCTTCTGACAAGCAAAATCAACGTGAAAGCCAGATTCACTTAACAGCCATGTTACTAATGTAATAACTGCAGTGATTCACTTAACAAATGTGGTAAGAAAGGACGCAAAAAGGGGCAACATTCCCTTAAAAAGATCTCACTTAGCAACAGAAATGTTGGGCTCATTTGTGGTCCTAAGTCAAAAATGACCCGTATGATGGCATGATCAAATTGGATGCATTCCTTGCACCAAGACATGGTTTTATTTATTCACATTTTATTGAATAAACCCCATATGCAACTCGCTAAGGCTGCACATGGTTCAAAAGCAATTTGGAAGAAGTGATGGGGATTCCTGCAAGCACAGCATCCCTGTGCTATTCATTACATTATGCATGGCATTGAATATAGTAATGTCACACATTAAGATTATTTTCTTAATTGTAGCTTATTGAATAATCTGGGTTGGCTGGAATCACTTGATTAAGGCTGCATAATGAATTCACACAATATATGAAACCAAACCCCATAAACTACAACATCAGAGTTTAGTATGACACAAACCCTGCCAATAAGGACAATCATTTTACAAAAATACAGTAAATAAATGCCCATCAGAGGAAACACCATTTATGACTAATGAGCTTACATGGATTCTGGCAGTACATATTCTGATTGTAGCATCTTGGACGCCACTGAGCTTGTGGTGAAATATAAAGATGGGGCATCTGTGGAAATAAAGGGTATGACTGAGAATCCATCTGGGGATATTCTCTGGACATCAGAGGTTTTGGAAGGTCTTGTAGGCTCAGAACAGAAGTAAAGGACAAGGGAAGCTCAGGTTGTCCAATGCCCAGAGCATCCTGAGGCTGAGAATCATATCCTGCATCTTCTGTCCTTAGGTCTACTGGCACCCTATTATCGTGCTGCCAGTTGGGCTTTAAGTTTTCCTGATTTTCACCAAACGAATGCTGGGATATTTCAGAGGAACTTCTTTGCAAATTACTAGAACTGTGCCCGATGTCAGGAGAATCAGCTGATGATTGAGACCTCAAGAGCTGGTTTGTTTTGTGTTGGGGCAAATGATTCCATTCTGAAAGGTCTGTTGAGTTGCTGGATGGGCCAGGAAACTGCCCACTTGTAGAATCATACGTGTCTTGTGGAAGACTATGGCCATAAATTTCTAGTATGCCATTATTATAATTGATATGATCAGGATGCTTATAGAATCCTAGTTGCCCATTCATCGGATGAGATGTTTGAGGTGGATAAGATCCCATAGGCATTAAGTTATTTATATCTTCTGCAGAAGGGTTCGGAGCCTCTTTCAGTGAATGTTCTGGAAACGGAGACCAGTCAATAGTTTCATCCACTTCAACTGGCATACTTCGACCCATTGTAGCGCCTAAAGTGGAGGGGGGGAATAGTATTAAAAAATTCTATTATTTACTCTAGATAAAAGTACTTTGTAATGAATTCAGATGTGCTCCTAGCAATAAAATGGCAACTCTGAGAAATGGAAGCAACACATCTAGAAGACAAGGTAAAGTTGGGATTGGCTGAATTGTATTACATAATTGGAAATCTTATGGAAATACTTTAAAGAGATGACTGACTTGGCCAACACCTACCTAGATGCCTGAAAAAATTTACATTGGCATAGTTAGAGCTTTGATTGCTCCCTTCACCACAGTTCTTTTTGCTTTCCACCCAATCCTTAGGGCCTAGTCGATCAGTGGAGGGAACTGAGCTGGCAAAATCTTCCCCAAAAGTTTGTGAGAAACTGAAATTTTCTAATGCATTGGACATAATTCATCTGGTTCAAGACTAGACAACCATGTTCTGTTTTATCGGCAGTGGTTCAGTCTGAATAAAAGGCTTTGCAAAATGGCAGTACAAAACACTAACCTTGTAAGGATGTCATTCTGTAGGAAATCTATGGAAGTAAGTACCAAGTACAAACGGTGGCTAAGGAGGGGAAAAGGAGAAAATACAAATCACAGCAGAAATAAACAATCATGATCATCATTCACAGAGCAGATAAGAAAAAGATTTATTTCCATACATAATTTCTAATTCTAATTCTAATTTCCACTCATTGAAATGGCTGAAAGAGGAAATATGGGATCCCATTTAATCAATGCTTGTTTTATGACCTTATTGCTTTTGATTAATTGTATCATGCTCTGAGCATGCTCTGATGTAGCTTGTGTGATATTCAAATAAACGAGTAATCAACCAATTTTAAAACACTTTTCTTCACCTTAAGAGTTCTTCAGATGTTTGGGAACCACAACAGGAAGAGGAAGGAATGTGGGGTATGTTCCCTGCCTTAACTTACCTATAAAGAAATAAAGACAGGGTAAGAATACTATACATAAGTTTCAGTCAACTCATTTTCAATCAACAGAATGCTTTTGTATTTATGTCATGGAGACATTAAAAAAACATACTGAGTTGTTCTTTTGGTAGGCATGGACAGCAATATAGGGCATTGCAGGCCAAAGCAACTAGACACAGGGACGGTTTTTTCCTTTGTGCCATCATTCTGCTGAACACCTAATTCTCACAGTGCTGTCTAATGTCTCAGTATATTTACTCATGTAGCATGGCTGTATTATTATTTATCCTTATCTTTTTTACTCCCCCTTATTGGTATTATTATTACGATTATCATTATTCTGTTGCTTGCACGCACACTGAGAGCTTCTGCACCGGAGACAAATTCTTTGTGTGTCTAATCACACTTTGTCAAATACAGTATTCAATTCAATTGTATCTAAACTTGGTGATGAATATTTTAGGCATACATCACAATAAGTTCCCAACTTCAAAATTGCACATGCATTTTTTTGTATCAGAATCAATAAACCTCTATAGCAGAGGTATCAAACTTGATTTCATTGCAGGCTGCATCAGGGTTGTGTTTGATCTGGGGGGCAGGCAGAATGGGCATGGCTGGGATAGGTGTGGCCAGCTCAACATACTTATGTCAGAGGCACCTGTGGTGACCAAGTGCTAAGGCAGGGCTTCCCTCAGACCCTCTCTCACTCTCATTATAATCCCCTTCCTTCCTTCCTTCCTTCCTTCCTTCCTTCCTTCCTTCCTTCCTTCCTTCTTCTTTCCTTCTTTTTCTTTGTCTTTCCTCTTTCCCTTTCTCGTTTCCCGTCTCTTCTTGGATGCTCAAATGCAAAAGGGGAAACATTTCTCCTTTTGTTTTTAGTTTGTTTGGCTAGCCCTCTGTCAGCAAAAATGGAGCTCAGGCCCCAGTTTCAGCTGTGACAGCCTCCTGCATCTCTCTGTCAGTGAAAATGGACCTGAGGGGGAAGAGGGGGCTCCATTTTCACTGGCAGAGCTGCAGGAGACCATCACGGCTGATAACAGACCCGGTCCTTTGCTGCTTCCAGAGTGGCCCTGTGGACTAGATCTAAGCAACCCCTGGGCCGGATTCGGCCTTAAATTTGACACCCCTGGCTCAATAGTACCGGTATCATAAAAATCAATGAGGTATACATTTTGAGATGCTATGGAAGCTGCTACTTTCAATCTTCTAAATATGAAAAAAAAAGCAACTGCACGATCCCTGATTTACACAGGACTGTATTCTGACTAGAGAATTCTGGGAATTGAAGTCTGCACATCTAAAGTTGCCAAGGTTGAGAAAGACTGCACTAGACCAACTAGTTCCTTTTCGCTACTCATTCCCACCAGACAGAAGGTGCCATTAGTGAGGGAAGGAAAATATCAGGCTTAGGTTCCTAATAAATGGAGTGTTAGTTTCTCCATTCTGACCTGTGCAGCTCTCTGGTCCAAAAATCAATGCATTTCATTTGAGGAAGCACATGTTCTTCATGGTTAATTTTCTTGCCAAGTTTGGAAGAATAACAATGAGCTCCAGGAGAGCTGACTTCAAGTATTTCTTCAAACCTTGCTCCAGTTGCATAAAGGGAAAAATTCAATAATGAACTGAAACAAATCCAAATTAATTTTTTTAAACTTTTTGCAGAAGAAAAACAGCTGAGAATGATTTTAAGACAGCAAGAGTTCTATACATTTTAATACCAGTCACTTCCACAATTCCAGAAAAAGATTTAAAATGTATTTATTTCTACAGAATAAGGGTCCCTCCTCAAGGAAACTTCATAAGAAATAAGCTGAATCAGAAAACTATTCTGAGCCTCTGAAGTATCAGGCTAAGACTCATCCTGATCTAAACAGTTTCCGGCATTTTAAAAAATATAAAGGAAAAAAAACAACTTTCTCTGTATCGTATTGCCACTTTCTCATTTCTACTCCTTTAGTCATCTTATAATTTAACTCCTACAAAATTAAACAGAAATGAAGAATACAATAGACAAACATCTATCAAGTCCACAGATATCTAGTGTTGAAATATAATCCAAAAAGTAGGGCTTACATCTATATGGACTGTAAAAGTGTCACATCTGAGCAAGGAAGCATTTTTTTTCCTGTATTATTTAAGAATACTTTAATTTCATTTCTCCTTTCCTTGTCTAGAATTATCCAACTCAAGAATCTTTCTGTAGACAATCCTGAAGCCTTCCACAAATGGAGAGGCAGAAATCTCACCCCCCCCCCCTTTATAAGCAAAAAGACCCAGCTGTGGAATCTATGCATCCTGCCACTGCCCTGTCAGTATGACTGAAGGCAGATGAAACTCCAGGGATGGGGGTGGGGTGGGGGGGAACTGTTTTCGTTTGGCTCAGATACCAGCCCACAGCAGCATTTAAATGATTGCTGGATAATGAATCCAATCAGGCTGTCAAGTGGGAAAGGGGAGAGGAATCAAATAAGATAATTTGTTTGGATAATTTGCCCTGAACGAGTCCATATTAAGTTTTAATTCATATCCAATCATGGCCAGCATTTTGGAAGGAAGAAGTGAGAGAGAGAGAGAAAAAAAACAGAATCCCTTCTGCTCCAACTATTTGTGCATTTCTTAAGACAATTTGAACCTCATTGAAATCTCTGTACTTTCCCTTTTAAAGGCATGCGTCAGCCTTTGAAATCTCCAAAGAACAAGGCTGAGTATAAACTCCCTCTGTTTTTGATTAAATCTTTTCTGACAGTAGAGAAGAAGAATGTGGAGTAACACATGGCAAGCTAGGTAGATTCCAGCTTCAAAGGCCATGCTGTTAGTTGAAAGAAACAGCTAGGATATAGGAAACAGGGAGTGGGGGGTAGACCGTAGGGCCATCCTGAGCATGTAACAGCATACTAGTTGAGAAATGCAATTTGGTTTACAGCCTTTTTTAACAAAAGCATTCTTCCTAAATTAGGATAACAAAAGAGGCCCACAGCCTAATGGACACTCCCTTTTCCCTAATTCTAATTTCAACTCTTGTACTATCAATTTGGGATTTTTCACATAAGTAGATGATCATTCATTAAGAGAGGAGTGGGATACAGAATTGCCTTAAAGTGGTGCCAACCACAGCATGACTGATGAGAAAGTGTGCTGGAAAATTCATACTGAGGCACCACCACTAAGAAGGCCCTGCTCCTGATATCCATCAATATAGGGACTCCTCTATATTTAGAGACACATCTAATAGGGAGAGACCACTGAGGCTTAACTTCCTTTTTCATTTTAAGTGGTAAAAGAACGTACTAACAGAAAACCTGGCACACCTCACTAAAACAGGCAGTTCATTGTTTTCTGTTCCGGCAATATATGTAGGCATCCAGCATTTTCTTGGGAGTTGGATGATCTTAACAAATCCAACAAATAAATGAATCCTAACTGTGACATGTTTACATTTTCAAAATGTCACCAGCCTCTCAAGGAGGTATTTTGCAAGTTCATCTTTGAGTAATATTTTGGCAACAAACCAGAGAAGACACCTCTACGCCTATCCTTAAGGAGGGTTATTTCGTACATTAAAAACAGCTTGACATATTGATCCCCTGGTACAAGAGAAGCAGGTTGGGGACAGAGCCTCCTAAAGAAAATCTATCCAGGGGCCACTAAGAGTTTGACCCTGGCTTAGGGCTTAATGGCACATAATCAATCAAGCTTATACAACTCTCGGCCAAGTCCCACAGAAGAATCTACAAGAGGCAAACCCATTGTAGCTGGGCCTCCCAGACATTTTTCGGTTGACAACACAGATTTATTGGCAACAGAATCCCGACATCTGCGTTTTCAAAGTGCTCTCATGGCCTGAGATAATTCATGGCGGAGCCCAAGGTCTCACTGACTCCCAACGAGCTTGCTGCGGGAGTAAATCAGCAGCCAGGAAGGGAAACTTGGGCCCCAGCCGAGAAAAACAAGAGCAGCAGAGAAAACAGTGGGCCGACAGCGACAGCCAAATAGGTAAAGGAGGGGAGCTTTTAACAACTCACCTTTTAGACCCCAAAGGAGATCAGCGGGGCAGGGCAGACCACCCGGCCGCCTGGTCTCGTCCGTCCTCCTCTTCTCCCCCAGGTTGTCCCTCCCTGAGGTTTTCCTGGCTCCTTTTCTCCTCCTTTGCTCTGTCAGGTAAGTTGCCGAACAGGCTCCGCACCAGGAAATAGATGTGTGTGTGTGTGTGTGTGTGTGTGTGTGTATGCAAATCGCGGGGAGGGTGGGGGGGAAGGCAGAGTCGGACTCCTCGTTTTGAAAAAGTCAGAGAGCCGTCAGTCAGGGGAGAGGAAGTGCGCCTGATAAAGCCCGAGAGAGGGAGCGTTTGACTAGAGAGGGTGGCTCAGGCAGCGAGGTTGGGCCCCTTTGGCTTTCGAGCTGGAAAGGGGAACGAGAGCGGGGGCGTCCAGGTTTCATGTCGGCAATTATTGACACGTGCGTCTCCTGCCTTGAACTTGAGAAACAGAGCGGGAAAAGTTCGCCGGGTGCCCGTTTAAGCCCTCTGCTGTGCGACTTTAACGACCGACATGAGACTTTTCCATCCGGGATCTGACAGAGATTACAATTATTTCCTGTATTCTTACTCATATTTATACTTATTATCTTGTAAGCGATTGACAAATAAATAAAAATAAAATAGATTAAAAAAATAAATAAGGGGCGTGCATAAGTGCACAATCGTGCCTACCGTCCCTGTCCTATTGTCTCCATTTCTTCGTACTTATTTCCTGTATTCTTACTCATGCTTACACTTATGCCTATTGTTTTGTAAGCGATTGGCAAATCAAATAAAAAAAATCGGTAATAGGCATTGGTGGGCACTTTTGGCAACGTTGCAGTCTGTCGTCATGGGGGAAAATGCCATCAAATGCCAGAGGTCCAAAGGATTTTTTTTTTTTGCGGTATATACGACCTCATAACTGTATAAATTACAAAAATCTGCAGCACTTGGGCAATTTATAAGTTACCAGACCAGGGTTGCAAAAAAATGCAAGGCTTAGAAGCCTGCAGCAAAGAGATACAGAAAACGGCACTGCCATCTAGTAGTCATCTGGATGTTTGCAGTCTGGATCTAGTAGCCTTGTTACTGAAGCTAATCGTTAAAATGTATAAAAAAATAAAATAACACTATCCCACCACCACCACAAAAATAACTTGGTGTTTTTTCAAACTTTCCAACTCTTAAGAAGTATGGAATTGTGGCAATTGGTCTACATTGCTTTAAAGGTCCCCAAACTTGGCAACTTTAAGATTTGTGGATTTCAACTCCCAGAATTCTCCAGCCAGCATAGTCTTAAAAGTTGCCAAGTTTGGAGATCTCTGTTTAAAGCAGGGTTCTTCAAACTTGGCATCTTTAAGGATAGTGGACTTCAACTCCCAGAATTCTTCCTCTGGTCATGTTAGCTGTGGAATTCTGGGAGTTGAAGTCCACAAGTCTTTAAACTTGCCAAGTTTGAAGACCCTTGGTTTAAAGCAGTGGCCCCCAACCTTTTTTGTGCTGCGGCCTGGTACCGGCATCACAAAATCATCCGCGGCCCAGTACTGGCATCAGCACGCATGGCAAGGCGAGCCGAGCGACCAGCCAGCCAGCCGTCCCCCGCTTCTCCCCGCCACCTTCAACTCCTCCTGTGTACCTGTGTCGATGGGCTTTGCGACGGCTTTGCGGCGGTCACTCGGCTCACCTTGCCATGCGTGCTGAAAGAATCCTCGCTTGAAGCCACCCCCCCCCCTCGATGAAATTAAGGAACGAGGATTCTTTCAGCACCCAAACGCCGCTTTCTACCTGGAAAAGCTCATGGGAAGCACTTTTTCATCAAAACAAGATGGCAGTGCCCAGCAAACCGGCGGCCCGGTAGAAATTGTTCCACGGACCGGTCCCGGTTCGGGGACCGGTGGTTGGGGACCCTGGTTTAAAGGAAGAGGTGTCAATCTTTTGGCAGCCCCGAGTGGCAGAAAGACTGTGATATTGTTGAGGTGTGGAAACAGGGGGCCCAAGGTTCACCCGCAGAAATGGGTCTCTCTCCCTCCCTCCCCCCCCCCTCTGTTTTTCTCTCTCTCTCACACACAGTCAAGGTTATATGACAGCAGATTAGGAGGGTATATCGTAAGGAAACAAACAAAATGTTAAAAAGTTATGATTATTATATAGTTACTTATCAATGCACTTAAATTACATAAAAGTAACCAAAATATCTTTACAATCCCCAAGGCACGTCACAACTTTTGAGCAATGTTTGGAAACTGAAAGCTGGAAAATTTGATATGCCCTAAACCGTTTGTTCTAAAAGGGAAGAACAGGATGGCTACGTATGTCTAAATAATATTTTGGAAGCCTGACTGAACTATCACTTCAGTACTATGTTCAGGTAGTCCTCAATGTGCAACCACCATTAAGCCCAACATTCATGTTGCTAAGTGAGAAATTTGTTAAGTGAGTTGGCCCCCATTTTACGATTTTTCTTACCACATTTGTTAAGTAAATCACTGGAATTGTTAAATTAGTAACCTGGTTGTTATGTGAATCTGGCTTCCCCGTTGACTTTGCTTGTCAGAAGGTCGTAAAAGGGGAATCACATGACCCTGGGATGCTGCAAGTGTCATAAAATATGAACCACTTGTCAAGCATCCAAATGTAAATCACGGGACCATGGGGCTGCTGCAATGGTCATAAGTGTGAAAAATGGTAATAAGTTTCTTTTTTCAGTGCCGTTGTAACTTTGAACAGTCTTTAAACAAACTGTTGTAAGTAAAGGACTATCTGTATTGGTAAGACTTAACCATAGTCTTTCTGTATTTTGGATATAAACATCTTTACCATATGGAATTTCAATATACATTAGTCCTCGACTTATGATCACAATTGAGCCCAAAGTGTATGTTGCTAAGCAAGATGTATGTTGTTAAGCGAGTTCTGCCCCATTTTACGACATTTCTTGCCACAGTTGTTAAGTGAGTCATGGCAATTGTTAAGTTAGTTACATATTTGTTAAGTGAATCTGGTCAACTCATAGACTTTGCTTGTCAGACGGTTGCTAAAAGTGATCACATGGCACTGCAGTTGTCATAGACATGAATTGGTTGCCAATTGAATTTTGATCACATGACCATGGGGATGTGGCGTAAGTGTGAAAAATTGTCATAAGCCACGTTTTTCAATGACTTTGTGACTTTGAACAATCACGAAATGAACTGTTGTGTTGTAAGTCAAGGACAACCTGTACTCCTTTCATTTTTGTGTGATTTGTCTATTGAAATCCTTTGGTTCATAATCCAAAGTTGGAGTCTCTTTTTCATTTTCTTATTTTTCTATGTCTGTTTCCCCCTTCAATAACTTTACAGAATTTAATGTAATTATGCTTCTTAATCTTCCAATGTCTCTCTGAAATTAATTATATTATGAATAACTAAGATTCCTCCTGATACCTTTGTTTTTCTTGGCTTTGGTTTCTCTTGGCAATTTCCATCCTATTCTAACAATTGACTTTGAATCTTATGTTTCTTCATCTTTGGTAATCTCTTCATATTCTTAACACCTTATTTTATTTCATTCCACAGTTCTTATGGTTCCTTATCAATGTAGTTCCGAACCTCAAAAGAATTCCTGATACTTTCCTTAAAAATGGTAGAGATTCTTGTACTTGAGTCAAACTTGGAACTTGTACATGAGTTCATGAACTGTTCCATAGTTAGCCCTGACCAGGTCTTCATTGTTACAATGGAGGTTTCAATTGTCTTGTACTAATAATATAGTAAGTTGGATTTCTGTGTATTCTATTTGGTAGATGGTTGTTTGGAGACTGTATTTGCAATGAAGAAATTACCAGATTGCCAAAGCTAATAAATGATTTCTGTTTCTTACTCCTACAGTTCGACTGTTTCTTTACTGTTTCCAGTTTTGGCTTTCCAGTCTCCAACAATAAGTAGCACATTTTGCTTGCATGTTCTGCTGATTTCAGATTAAATTTGACCATAAAACTCATCAACCTCCTCTTCTTTTGCATCTATGATAGGGGCATAAACTATCTTATTAAATTATTGTCCAGGAGATCTAATTTATATTATTTGGTTATTGACTACATTGACAAACATTGTCTCGATTATGTCTTGCTATGACTTGAGTATGCTATTATCAAATAACTGCATTATCAAATAAAAGTGTTATAAGAAGAAATTCAAATGTCTACAATTTATGTAACTAAGACCCCAAACATGCTTTGATTTTGTTCAGATAAAAATAGTTTATGGTCATGTCTAGAGAACAGGACTCATCCCCTGATTCCATCACACTCAATTTATTCACTTTAAATGCCACCAACACTCAGTATAAGATCACTGAGTAGGTTGGCTAGTGCCCCCCATATTTTAAGTCTGGCCACTCACCATAAGATATACCTGGAAATGTATATAGCCTTCCTACTTCCTCGCTTTTTATTTGCTTCCTGTCTCCTGTAAAATAGAGTTAATTCAAAGCCTTTTGCAATCAATGTCATGGGTGCCTTTAAAGACATATATATTATGGTCAGTTGATATATTAGTTGATAAGGCAACTAGTAGCTTAAGCCTTCCTTCCGTCCTGAGGGAAATGCATATCAGATGTCTGCGCAGTAGAAGTACCGTAGCTGACTTTTATACTTATGAATCAGCTAGCTTTATGTGTGACCTGGGGGAATCAAATGTTCAGACACTGAAAAGGAACCATATTTTAATGTGTGAATGCTAATGTATTTGACATTTATACAGGGATGGGATTCATATACTAGATTGTAGTTAGATATATGGGAATTGATAACAAATGGCATGGTGGTAGCTATCTATCATAATGATTGATAACTGGTTACATATATTCCATGTATCCCACAAACATGTCTTCATGTCATGCAACTATCTCTAACTCAGTTGGAGGGTGCAAATTTTTATCTTTTTAAAAAATTATATGGAGATTGAGACAGAAGTGGTTTGCTTGGGGTTTCTAA